AAAAACTTTAGAGCATGACAGACCAGAAGTCACAGAGGGTCTGGGATCTGATAAATAAGCAAGATGACAGGAAATTACTAAGCTATGGGATAATAAGGCAACGCAAGACCAAGCCAACCCGGGAAAATTTTGATGGTCCTGTATTGAATGCATCAACTGCTACAGACGACGATAGAACAAAGGTAGTAAACCTATCCTCAATTCCTCTTGATTTTGATACTACAGATCTCTTAAAAAAGGGGTGACATTTTCCCCTAGGTAACGAAGGAAACAATCTTAGTGATATTCTAGTGGAAGTTATTAACATAAAGGATAAATATTCAGAAGAGACAAGGCGGTAGATGAAACTGAAAATAATCCCACGGATCCTGTCACATCAAGAACCGATACACGAGCAGATTGACTGATATACGGAAAAAATTACAAAAGAATGATCAAATAGTTATTCAGGCGGATAAGAGAGGAGCGAAGGTTGTAATGGGCAGAAAACAGTACACTTATCAAATACTAAAGAAGGATCCACCATGAAGATCAACGGGACATTAAAGTATATGCTCAAGGAAATGCATAATAATAGGTAAATTGATAGATGGGTGATGAAATCATTAATCAAAAATGACGCAAGACCACCGACAGCCAACAGACTACCGTAGATACACAAGGAAGGAAATCCGCTAATTCTAATAGTCAACAACAAGCATGGAGCAATACACAAACTTGCGAAATTCATTTGCTTGAAACTTAAAAAAGTAAATGACAGAGTCTCGAATACTGTTAAGAATTCATATGAATTTTTTCAAAAGGATCCAGAACATTGGGTTGGTGGGGTCGGAAATGTTGATGCGTTTCGATTTACAATCCATGTACACAAACATCTCAAGTGAGAAGGCAGTAAGAGCTTTGCTGGAGATATTGGAGCGAGAAGAGGATAACCTGGAAGAAGAACGGATACGGAAAGAATCGTTAACACGACTAATCGACCTGAAAGTAAGGACCACATATTTTACATTTAACGGCAGTATCTACGAGCAAATATTTTGACTACCGATTGAATCTCAACTCTCACCTCTTTTGGCAAATGTGTACATGGACAAGTTGGAAAGGGAATTTGAGAAGTCACGATAGTTGGATGACTACTTTGCACTTTGGTCACATGATAAGGAAAATTTAAATAAATTCCTCAATTTAATTACCCAACTTGATGAAGTAATTAAATTCACGATGGAGGTGGAGGAATATGAACGACTACCCTTTGTGGATATTGAAGTCATGCGCTCCAAAGGGATACTCATGAGGAGACTATACAGAAAGCATTCATATGCGGAAATAATCCTCAATTTTCAGTCTGACCATAACTACAGACTGAAGATCGGAATACTGAGGACTTTGATTATCAGAAGCTTACGACTAACGGACAATGAGTTCTGGGACGAGGAGTTGGACAAACTGACACGGATTTGCCTTAGTAGCGTGTACCCCAGAGAATTTATAGAAAAAAAATGCAATTTTACAGGTCAGATTTCAACTAGGATTTTACGAAAATCAGATCAGGAATCAGGACTACCAGAAGTGGACTTGCCTTTCCTTATTAGGACTGAGCCAAAAATTGCAACTATTAATAAGGAAATGGAATATCAAGGTGATAACAAAGAAGATGAAAACACTTTTTACCAGTCTGCCGACATAACACGAGAAGATGGACAAACATGATTGCTCGGGAGTTTATCGCATCAAATGCGGAAATTTTGAGCAGAAGTATATTGGTGAAACAGGAAGAAAAATCGGTCTACATATCAAGGGACATCAAAGACTCAGCAGGAACATGGATACACAAAGATCAGAAATAGCGGAACACATTCCACGGACGGGGCTCGAAATCGACTGGAAATCGACCGATAGGTTGGCTGGATATGGTGAAAATACGAGAAAATGCAAGATCCGAAAGGCCATTGGTATACTGACTAATATAAATCTAATAAACAGGAGACTTGAAGAAATCAGGATCAGCGAAAACTTTGCATATTGCCTAAACAAACTCGGAGAAGACTAGGCAACAGGAAGATCAGCA